CAATTTGTCCTCATTTTTGCTATTTGGTGTTTGAGTCAGTGCACTTTTTGTTTGTTTTTTTGTGTGTTTGTTTTTAAACTCAAACCACAATAAAAGCATTTGGCCAACTTCGTGGCAATGAAAAATTTGCAATTACAAAAATGAATTTAGGGAATTCTCTGCTCTAGCCAAACAATTCTATTGTTAACGTTGTATACAATAATGCAGCGCTATGACAAACCCATTATGTACACACACATACAAAAAATTATCAGTTATCCAGGAGCTTCCTGTGATTTTCTAAAGCCTGTCACTTTCACTTTAGGTCGTATTTCAGCGCCAGCCTCGAAGCACCGGGATTTGGACCGTAATTTTTGACAGCTGACAGAAGATGATTGAAGCCACAAGTGAACGAATGGGACACAGATGTGTCCATGTTTTCTGTTTGTCAAATAAAAGTTATCGAGTATTTCACTGGGGACTCAAGCAGTGCAGCTTGACACCAACCACAAATTTCACTGGAGGAGCCTAAGTTCTGTTATTCTTTAGTATAAATTTATCCATTATGTAGTTGAACATGACAGATTAAAATTGTCAGCAAATCATGTACATGATCATTTTTTAAGAGATGGGTACTTGGAATGAAAATCTGAATTCCAAATTAGAAAGACGATCCTGTAAATGACCAAAGGTGAAAGCTTCATAGATAAAAAAGATAACAATAAGTTAACCATAGTAATTCTTCCATAGTTAATCAGCCATTCATTAGCAATTTTTACACAGCTGTTTGTGTGCTTGACTTAAGTTGTCCTTGGCTTTATGTTCAAAGATTTTTAGTATTTTATTTTATTATTATGTATCTTTTGTCATTGAGAAGCTTACAGCTATATCTGAAGAAGAAGCAGGCCTAAAAAACTATCTAGACTAGATTAGAAATATTGGAAATTTATGTCCTTAAGAATCATTTTAAAAAAATATCCAGTGGAGATCTGACACAGGGCCTGAAAGATGCATTTACCAATTTCCAAAACACTAATATATAAAGAGGAGATCGTGAGAGAGGTACAACAGTGAGTGCCCACAGCGATCTGTAAAACATGTTGGAGGCTCTGTCGTGGTTTGGGGCAACATTTCAGCCAGTGCAGTGGTGTCGAGGAACACTGAAAAATACTGTGAGATTTTGATTCACTGCGCAATAACATTTGTAAACCACCTGATTAGCAACAGCTTCATTTTTCCAGCATGAGAATGATCCCAAACACACTGCCACAGTGGAGGACCATCAGTAATTGATTGGCCTCCCCAGAGCCTGGACCTCAAGATTATTGAAACAGTGTGACATCATGTCGGCACAGAACAGAGAAAAAGGCAGCCAACATCCAAAGAAGAGCTTTGCATTTCCTTCAAGAAGCCTCTCTACTTCAAGATTAGGTTTCAAATTTTCCTTTTTGATAAAGCATGTGGTTAGGGCTGGATCAAGTGACCCTGAATTCTCCCTTAGTCGTGTTGCAGCTTGCTGGGGACTTCCCATGATAGACTGAGCGCTTCTTCTTCACACACCTCTTTTCGTTCACTACGTGTTTATGCACCATTTTGCATTTAACCATTAGTTATTATTAATCTCTGGCTCTCTTCCACAGTGTATATTCTATCCTGTCTCTTGAAATGGAATTGAATTAAAAACTACTACTACTACTACATGTAACACACACTCCTATTTGTAAACGTTCACTGCATGTACAAGCTTAGCGTGAGAAAATGTCTTTGCGTGGAGAATCATTAACTTTTAAATGAAGTTGTTAAAAAATGTAGTTTCTTATTATATAAAATAGAGGCTATGAAGAGATCAATCTAATAAAAATGGAAACAACTTACTGTAGCACAGAAATGCAGCTGACTCAGGCAGGTATAAAATACACTAAAATCGTAAAAACAAAAATCACACTCTTAGATGACAGTAAATTAACAAGTGACCTATCCAAAATCTTAGGTTTGTGGATTTAACACATTTGCAGAAGACTTAAGTTAGAGTTCAGTGCTGGATTTTTGACAGATGTGTACTTAAACAGACATTAAGGAGGAGATTATGTCTAATTTATGTGTGTAAAACACCTGCTTAGCTGTAGTTTAACATGAAACAGCCGACTGTATTCATCATTACATCGTCTGAGGTCATAATCATAAAATATTAACGTCATGTCAAATCTACCACCTGTTGAGTCTCCACCTTCTTTTCTTCTCTTTCTAAAGGAAACTTGCACCCTCAAATTAGCCGCGAGAAATATGTTAAACTTTTTAACCTCTGACATATAAATAATGGGGGCAGTACGAAGGCAGATTAGGAAAAAATACTATGAATAGAAGGTGTAAGAATAAAATGGGAATTTGCACGTTATATAAAATTTGGTCATGATGGGTTTTCTTCTGCACATCGTGAAGATAACTGCAACCATGGAGAATTGATAATATTTTTTTAAAGTATACAGAGGACTGCGCAATTTTAGGCAACTGCCAATCATTTTCTGTGGTCCTGCAAGAATCCTGCATGAATTAATTCCAGTAGCCATTTTCACACCTGGAATCCAGCACTGAATTTTTCTCTACAGACGCAGGTACATGTAGGAACGCAAATGTCTGATGTAGATCATACACAGCCGCTCCCTCACCTCCATCTCTAAACAACGTCCCGAACTGATTTACCCAAAAGATCACGTTTGAAAACAGCTGGTGACTTAATGAAGTGTAATGAGGCATTTTTAATGGAGAGCATAAGGTGTTACAATAATCGAGGCATCTTAAAGTATGTGTAAATTACTGTTAACATCAGTAATGTACTGTAGGATGTTCTCAGTCATCCAGGTCATGGTAAAGAAAAGCGACTTGACTTCTTTAAGTTTCTTGAAGAGGTGAAAGGTTATTGAAGGACCTAGTATCCTTACTACATCCACAATAATAATAAGCAAGACATTGTTAATTATGTTTTGGTTTTTGATTTTAAAACTGAGCTACATGTGTATTTCTGTGTCTGAATGAGCAACCACTTGCTCAACAGCTTTGTCAAGTGTGGTACGCAAAGGCTGATGGCCTCAGAGCCTTTTTTTTTAACCAACAGTATGTCTGTACATGTTTGGACATGGACACATGCATGCAAATGGCCCTGTTGCCCACAATAATAGAGATAAAGAAAGCCAAGAGGATCTGAAGAGAGAAAAGGGGTCTAATCAACTGTCTTTTAAAATGGCTGGATGAGGATGGCCCTCTCCATAAATCTGGGTTTTATGGTTACTACAGTGTTCCTAACCTCCTGGGGTTCTTCCTCTGCCAGCACAGCATTACAAGATCCCAAAGTAACCTCCTCAGAGGCAGAATCTCACAGTTTGAAAAAAATAACATCAAAATCAACCGCCATGGCCTGCGCTTCATCGAGCGTGTCATTCCTGCCTGCCTGAGCAAAGCATACAACATGTGTTTCTAAACTTTTTCAGTATTTGTCAGTGACTGTTGCATAAATTTAACCTTGCAACAGTGTGAGCCATAATTATCTTTCCTTGTAACAAACCTTTAGTGAGAAGCCTTTTTCTCGTTTTCCAGCTACAGCCATTACACCACTAACTAATAACACTACCTTTGGATGACTGGTAACAAACTGCACTGAGTACTTCCTGTCTGTAGCCTGAAGGCCACCAAGCCTTTCTGATTCTCCTTTAATGTGGGGAAACTATAAACCTTATCTTTTCAACGGTCCCTTGTAAAAACCAAAAAGAAAGAAAAAAAGGAAAATCAAGAAAACTTCCTTTCGATTTTGTTGTGTGTTGTTAGATGTCCTCAGGGAACAGTGACAAGAGGGGAGTCCATGGTGCTGTGGAAGATGGAGTACTGATAATACATCGTGTTTTACTCCATAAGATTGGGGTCTATCGTTGAGCCCCATCACTGAGGCCTGTGCTTCAAAGCTACAGGCAAGGAAAATTACAACTGCTGCACTTTTTACACTTGTGCCACATCCATTCAATGCATGAAACAGCAGCATTTTCTCTTCATTTGTTAAGGACATTTACGCTGAAAACAACCCTGCATTAAAATATTTATCCCCGTGTCAGGAGGACTACATAAAAGACTGACATCTCATCAACCGTCATTCAAAACAAGCTCTCTTTTTACTTGCTTTCACAGAACGAAGGGTAGTTTAGTGCGGCACTTGCTCAAGTTAAGCAATTAGTTCCTGCCTCACTATGAAAGATATATTGATTCCAAGATTTCCAGACCATAGTCAATGTAAAAGATGGATATAGCTTTTGTGTCTTTAAAAAGTGAAGCCAACATCGAAAGGTCTTAAACAAACCAGCATGCATGTGATTGGCCACCAGGGGGTGTTTCCTGTGGTTGCAAAAAGTTTTTCAATTCCACAGAAGCTTATATTTAAGGATGAGGGTATGCTCTTTGGTTCTTAGCCAACAAATATCCTGTTCATTCCTCCCATGTCTGTCTTTTCTATTTGCCAAAAATCCGGCTGCTTCATCATTAGTCTCTTAATAGGTGGAGACACAACCTTGAAAAAGCTTTCTGTGAGTTTTAGCATTCATCTTTTAAAACCTATCATTTATGTAAGGCAAGACCCAAGGGCTAATGTAAAGACAGGCTAGGAACCTTCTCTTATGTAACATCCAAAGCATCAGCTGTCTTTTCAAAAACCTATTGTCCATATTGCTTGACATTGCTTGAGTGTTTACTGTAACCATCTGCAAACTAGTCAACTTGCAGTTTACATTATTGTCTTCAATACTGCCAGAAACAGGTTTTGTAAAGGTCACTGCAACCTTGACCACTAAATTCTTATTAGTTTATCAGTGACTCAAGATTCATTTTAATACATACTTTTTACAAAAACCTTATCCTGATTTATCTCTAACCTGGTTACGTACTCATTTTCTATGCTTAGCACTTTGCACCATAAAATGCTAAACATAATGAATGATTATTGTAGCAAACACTGTACAAATCCACACAAAACCTTTGCTTACCGAAATATCATTACAAGTCTTCTCATACAAGAGACAACGGCGATCAGGAGAGAGGCCAAAGGTATACATCTCCTTGTCTTCGCTTCTTCCTCCTCCACTTTTTGTTAGGGCTTGAAGAAGATCCTCAACATATCTCTCTCTTGGGACTCCTATGTCATTGGCTTCCCTTGTCATATCATCCTCTGAAACTGACAAAAAAAAAAGCATTGCTCAAACATCTTATTGTTTTTTAAAAGGCATTTTTCTCATATTTAAATTTTTTTTTTCAAAGCTGTACACCTGACAGAAACTGGATAGAGGGGAAGGAGCAGATTACAGAACAAGAAGTGTAAACATTTATTATGTAGTAACCCATGAATGCACGTGAAAGCGGATTTGAAAGGAAGCATGCAGAGAAACCAAGGGGACTGTCATCAACTGCTGCACAGCTGCTAACGTTGGCTTGAAAGTCCCAATTAGCACATGAAACAGAGAAATACTGACGAGCTACAAGCCTGCACGTAGCTGTCACAAACTCATCTCCACCTGTCATCTCTCCAGATGGACAGCAATGGAAAACTAGAGAGCAGTTATGTTCCAGATGTCCTTCCAGAGTATGGGCATTCATGTACAGACACACACAGGCACACACAGACACTCACTAGTGGCTTACTATATACAAAGACAAGCCTTGTAGATTTTAATCTGCTTTATACACCTGTAAGCTGCAGCGTAGGAGTGAAGAAGGATGATGAAATGAGGTCACGTCTGTCCCTCTTGTTAAAAGACCAACAGTTATAACACTATGATAATATGATAAGGGGGTCGGCCAGGTGCCTAGACAGCTTGGATGAATGGTTGCCTGATGAATAGCAGCCCTGCTAACCACTCAGACTAGGTAATCAGAAAAAAATGAAAGTCTTTCTATTACACGTAAGCCTAAATTTAAGGTAATTTTCATCTATTCTAAACTATTCTTCTTACATCTCAAATATTTACCTTCTCCAATCCATGCTGAGCTGCCATTTGTAAGAGCTAATGTGAAACCAGCACCCAGGTCTATGGCCCAGTCCACTCGCAGGAAGTACGGAGTATCTGGATCATCACTTAGTCTAATTTGACAAACTGTACCGCTCATGTTTCTCACATATCCGAGACCTGCAGAACACCAAAAACAGAAATTCAGACACTCTAAACAAGAAGAAATTAAAATGCAATTTTCCGGCAACAATTCCTATGAGTGTTTATAACATTTTGTAGGTTTGTTAGTTTTGAGTCCTAAGACCTCCTTCGAAGACAGTGCTCTAATCAATCTGTTTTCGTGGTGTAAGATTGTGTTAATCTTCCCTTTGCATCAATGTGGTTCATTGTTTCACTGCTTGGATTTGGTAATAAAAAAACGTTCCTGTGTATGCCTTCAGTGGGGGTCTCTCTGAGTCAGTGGGACCACACGGAGATTAACATGTTTTGGCAGGTTTTTGTGTCTGCCTTGAAACCACCAGGAAAGTAATTACATGCTGTTAAAGATAAATAGAGGAATATTACTGAAACAAACCAGTTGTTTCACTGGTTTTATACAATTAGTACATTATCAAATTTATACAGTAGCGTGCAAATGCATCCAGCCAGCCCTCATTTTTTTACATTTTGCTTCCAAGGACCCAGACTCACATTTTCAAAGTGATCTTGAGCAGTAGTTCTCCAGGCTTTCAGAAGATCTTTCAAAGTTATTTTTTATTTTTGTTTGACATTGGCTGCTTTTTCACTCATTTTCAGTCCAGTCTTTATATGCCAACTCTACACATAATATGCAAGTTAGGAAAGAAGTGATTTTAAATTGCATGTTTGGGCATTTAGGTACTCGTAATCTGTTGCAAAACTCATAATACATCCGCACTTATTTAGATGAATTTACAGAAAATGTCAAAGACGACAGGCATAAAATAATATTTTTTATACCAGAAAAAAAAGTGATTCCCAAAGAGCTATACGGGAAAAAAACTGTATCTGAAAGTCATGTCCATAAAAAATAGGGGGAAAAAATCAGCAAAGAGATGCATCTGACCCTTCACTTGATTCATCTACTATTGAAACGGCCCCAAGTCTCAAGGACAGCTTTCAAGAAGTTATACTTAAGGAAGGGAAACAGTGAGAAAATGCTGAGATATGCCAAATTACACAAGAACTGGACTGAAAATCAGTGGCAAAAGGTCTTTTAAACAATGATGCAAATTTTGGTTCAAATCATCATCAGTTTGTACGAAGGAGATCAGGAAAGAGGTACAGCAGTGAGTGTCAGTATCCATCAGTAAAACACAGTCTAGACTCTTTCACGGTTTGGGTCGTTTCAGCCAGTAGTGTTGGAGATCTTGACAAAATGAATGTAATTATGGATGCAGATAAGTTGGTCGTTGGTCGTACCAGAGTTACTTTTAAGCTAGTTATAGTTGTTTTTGCTTTTTACGCTGTAATTCATGCATGTTTGCTAATGTTTCAATAAATCACTACATCCATTTCCCACTTTTTAAGCACAATATGAAATAAGGGATGCTTTTGCTCAGTTCTGTATTTCTTAATGGGAGCTTAAACTATCCTACTAATGCCAGAAACAGCCTGTTATTAGTTGTGAAAAAGTTGGTCTAACGATTACAATAACTTTAACGTAATTAACTCAAAAAAGGGGGTGGGGGTGTCTTTGATTGCTAGTAAACTTTTACTTGATTATGCATATCTAGGTCAGAACATATGATTACTGCTTCCACATCGAGTGAGAGGTGAGTTGGACAGTTTCCCTGCTTAAATACAGGGCAAAGTGAGTGGAGACGGAGGAAAAAGCAAGACAGCTTAATTGGCAGTTAGCCAAGCTGAACATGTCTGAAAAAATGAAAATGAGTGCCTTTGGACATTGTGCTTTTAGTTATGATGTGACATGTATCCCCCACCACATATGCTGACAGAGCAGGTGGTCAAGGTTATTCAAAATGAGACATGCTCTGCGCAGGGGGTACGCACACACCCTATTCACACACACAAACACATGCATGCACAAAGAACTGTGCAAAAAGATTAAAGTTGACCCTTTGTGCCTTACGAAGGGGTGTGGTTAGGCAAAGGGGCCAACCAAGACTAGGGAGCTGAAGGCATCAACTTTAACCTCATAAAGTGAGCCCGGCTACTCATTAGTTACTGTAACATCTGTTGTTCAGGGACGGTGACCCTGTGGTAATGACAGAAGGACTTCAATTAAATAAACAGCACTGCCTGTGAGGAATGGAGAGATACTCAGAATCATCAAAGCCAATACTGATTTCTCACTGTTAGCATCTGTTCAGTAACACAGCCAGCAGAGGCAATCATCTGAATTGCTTAAATCATCAACTAAAACTACCCTAGAGATTCGACACATAGCTTTTACGTTCTTTTTCTACTCCTTCTGTAATTTTTTGCTCAACCTTTTCATTGTCACTTCTTCTGGATTGCCTCATTCGCAAACAGCAAGACTTAATTCTGTTTAGAGGAAGTACCAGGCCAATGAGTCACAAAGAGGGCCTGTAATTATGCATCTTGTGCCTTAAACAAGGAGTTCATAAGGAGTAAAGAAAAAGCCAAGATAGCTGACTCTCTCCCTTGTGAGCCTTGACAATTAGACCCATCCTCTCACTGTACTTTCACTGGACTTCTCCTCCTGTTTTCTCCAACACAATAGGCTCAAGGCGAAAAGGACAACTCTTTGGCAAATCCACTGCTTTTATGACCAGTTAGGGATTAAAGCAATGCTGCCCTAAACAACAGTAAGTGGGGCTGGGGCCTTTTGTTCGTTATTCTTTCCAGGTATTGGCTTCAGCCACTGGGCACAGTTACAGAAAATATAATATTTACTATAGTAAATCACGGCCTTAAAGCTAAAACATCTGTCTGAACTGGGCTACACCCTGATCATGTCAGAGGCAGACTTTGTGAAATGTCCCCATAAGCTAGCTGATAGATGCCTCTGCATTAGAACCAGGGTTTTAAAAAGTACTGTAATTTACCAAGATGCTTCGAACATATATTATTGCTGTCTGAAGGGGAAAATGTGATGCAGTGGTAATGGGAAACAACAAAAAAGTAGGACATGTTGCACAACATGACACGCCTTCACTTACATGCAGAAATGTATTCTGAACTTTATTATAGATTATAGCTTTCTTTTCACCACTGGGTAGGAAAACAAGCTGAGATTGGTCACAAAATAATGAGTACCTACAGTACTCCTATTGCCTGATAGGAGGCAAACCTGCAGTCGCAGTCTGACTTGGACCGACTGCAATCACTCTCAGAGAGATTATTGCTGTCTAATTTATAAATGCAGACAGACTGCCATAAGTTTGAATGAGTTTTTGTCAGAAAGCACAACTCAAGGGGACTCAACTCAACTGGCTGCCAGCTGGTTGTATTCTGGTTATATTCCTGTAACACAGGAAGGTTACTGAGTGCAAATGTAATAGCTAAATGCAAATTTCTGTCTATATCGACAGCAACAGATTTGTGATTTTTGACAACTTATCACAGCTAGTTGCTGTATTATCAGAAACACATTGCATGCAATTGCCAACTTGACTCCATTCGACCGCAGACTGATAGCAGACTGCCTCTGTCTTATGGCAGTGACAGTGTCTCATTTTGCAGCTGAAAAATAACTGAACTAATAACTTTATCTTATGAGATAAAACAGATGAGTACATAATTAGCAGTTTTAAAAAGGGGATTGCAATATATGTTATTATAATACTGCATATTGCAAAATGTTAAAAATCGCAATAGTATATCGTGAGTGAAGTATTGGGAAAATATCGTATGGCAGTGTGTCCGGTAAGTACCACTTATATTCAGTACTGTACAATAGTTTTCCTATACCAATAGCCCAAACTCTACTGATCTCTAATTCATTTTGCACTGTGAAAATAACCCTAAACCCCAAAGAATCATAAAGAACAACTATTTCTTCACTAACAAGAATTATAAAAAGTCCTGCAACAAAAAGTATGGTCCCAATGGAGCCCTGATCTCTACATCAATCAGCCACTTCAAGATAAAATGAAGAGACAGAAGAAACTAAAAAATCACAGATAGTAACTAATAGTAACTAGGGCCATAATGTATGTTAATGCATTTACTTCTCTTTCAAGTGAACATACTCACTTGAAAGAACCTGGACTAAGAACTGTGCTCCTACTGCTGGTTTTGATGACACTAAAACCATGGGAAGAATAATGAAGGCATGACAGATTCTTCATAACAGAAACCACTACTGCAGGCAGACATTATATGTTCAAAGCAAGCCAGCCTCCATTATCACAGAAAACAAGTGCAGTGGAGTTTTTCAAATTTTCTTTTGTTCATTTTCTGCCAACTTAATAATATGGTTACAGAAAAAATAAGTACTATTACAGTAAACCACTTGTTTTATAACAGAAACCTCAACACAAGTGGTTTGCAAAAGAAAGGTACTTTGTATTCTGGTGAAATTAGCCGGATCAGGTCGGAGCAGACATCAAGCACGCTGATGTCAGCTTGCTGTAACACTTCCAGTATCCCGTTTCAAAATAACCAAAAGTCAAAAACATCTTAAAAAAAATAAAGCTTGAGGACTGTTTCACTCTTGCAAATGTAAATATGGCCTGATTTTAGATCTCACAAACAGAAGGCCACACCAAGTCTTGATTTAACTTCAGTAATCAAATGTGCATGTATTGTACTGTAGCCAAAATGGATCACTGTAAACTATATAAAAGAAAATAAATTTGACCACATTAAGAGGAATGTAAGCCTACATGTAAGCCCGGCCCATCTCTTTGTCTTAGGAACACATCTGAAGGCAGACATTGTCTTAGACAGCTAAATAATTAGCAGTCTAAGACAATGAGCAAACAAATTTATTCTTCTAATTTCTAGGAGTGCTGAGGAGGGGAATGTCTGGGGGGAAATTTATGAAACACTGTTTGAATGCAATTAAGATGCTGCCATGGCTGGTTAGAGAGGGAGGGAACATCATTGTGAAAACTTTGAGAGAAAAGTGGACCACAAAAATTTCTCTCTTACATCACCAAGAGAGAAATATGAGCTATATAATGTAATTTTTTGCACATTAAACTTCAAAAACAAAGACAAGCACACCACGAATGATACCAATTAGCAAAGTCTAGTTTTAACACATTTGTCTGTAGACAGTCTACACTACTGTCTACAGACTTGAACAACTCTCAAGTATTTTCAAGCTAGTACTCAAGTTTGAGGGTATAATATCTAAATATTGTATAATAATGTTCATTTCTATTTTTCCTTTATATATTCAGAATAGATTTTATCATTAGCAACGAGCTGGCTCTGCAGGTGCCGACGTCTTAGACTTCAAATAACTTTATGTGTGCATTATTATAGAACAAAGCACAGTGGCATAGGCGCTATGGCAAGGCGCCGAGTCATTAGCGTGTTATAGACGACTCGAATTTTCCTCTAGTTCTTACAAATGAAGTACAAATTCTTCTTCGAAAACTTAGCACTATGTGGACCAACAACTTCGATGTGAAAATGAAGCAATTATTTTATGAAACTGATATCATTGAAGCACTCACTCTTGACAGCTTCGACAGTAGTTTCAACCTTCAACTCTTGTGCTTTGAGCCAATCAGCGACAGCGCAGTGCGTCCTTACGTCACGCAAACCGTGCTTCGCTTTCGTTACGTAAGTTCCAGGGAGGCGGAAGTGTGATGTGGCTTTGATTCCCATTTACAAAAATGGTAAGTTTGTTTTGATAAAGCAGATCTTTTTGATCTTTTGCAGCGACGTTTAAGCGTTATTTATCGCAAGTATTGGAGATATGACCTGTATCAGCGATAAACTGTGATGGCAGCTTGTGCTTGTAGAACATACAGTAAATGTTAAACTACCGAGCTAATAGTGGTTAGCTGAGTTAGGCTAAAAGTTTAGCAAATCTAGTCACAATGTCACGTTTCCGTTCATGCTATTAAACTTTTATTTCATCGAGTGCGCGCACTGATGTGTCATTGGGAGTCGTTTGCTAGAAAAGTCAAGTTATCTCTGATTTTTTAAATACGACGAGTGCCAGCATCGTAGTGTTTTGAGGCGTATGCCACGTAGCTAGACAAGGAGCATGGGCTACTGCCTGCATGCGTGGGTATTTCGAATTAAAACTCGTAAATGAATATGTAACCAATGAAATTAATTATTTCCACAAGGTTTCCATAAAGTAGAATTTTAAAGACGAGCGTTTATTAAGAGGGCCTAAATGATGAATAATGATGAAATGATGAACCAACAGAAACAGGGAACGTGGTTAATTATATAACATTTCATTTTTAAAAGTTAAACATTACGTGTACGACACCAGTTAAGTCGTTGTAAAATGATGCTTATTTTCTGTAACAGCATTACAGTTTGAGCTATTGATGGATATTATAAATTCAGCAATAGAAGCAGTTCATAATCTCGAAGTTATTTTAAGGTATAGACTTTAAATACCCCTGTTTAAATCCTATGTTAGTTCTTAAATGTACTTGTAAACTCATCATGCTCACTACTTGAGCAATGGAGTTGGATTAGAATCTATTGCAGAGTCCCTTGGTTGCTTTGGCGTGCCATAAGATTAACACAGTTATAAATTAATAACAAAGTCCTTCCTTTAGATTTACCTTTGATTTGATCATAAGTGCACATGCATTGTAAAATGAGGTGCACATGGTAAATATTGCCATTCACATTGCGAAAGACTGGCCAATATGATCAGCAGTTTTTCCATTTAGTTTCTCATCCTGCAGATGAACGCAAATTCCGGTCTTGGTTCTTGTAGCTGCACTACCAATCTGGTCTGTGAGCTAGCTAATATGAAAGGCTTGGACTAGCTGGTTAGCACCAACTGAACAAAAGAGTGAGCTGTTGTTCTCTTGTAACTCAGTGGTAGATAAAGTTCTTTCAAATGGTTGAATACAAAGACCAAAATTACTGGCAATGAACAAATACATAAATATTGATCGACCTTGCTTTTTTTTTTTCCAGGGAAAAATAATCAGGATTGCTTCCACTAGTTAACCTTTCTAATCTATCTAGGCCAATCTCCAAGGTACAGTGTTCTGTAGAAGGCTAAAGGCTCTTTTGCAGTAGCAAATAAAATCACTTAGTGTCTGAAACTAAGTTTGATTCATAACTCGACCGTCTTTCAATTCTTACATCGGTGCAACGATCTGTGCAGACATCTGAGTGCCTTTCAATTTGTTGTGACAGTGTGGATTTTTCAGCTATGTCTACAAGTGCACCAACTGTAAATGTTACCTCCAAGCAGACTAAAAAAATGGTAGGATAAGAGCACTCATGTGTCCCTGGTGTCCACAGCTGTCCAAAGCACTGTCTGTGTGGTTTACAAGGTTTCATGTATTGACTGCCAATTCTTCAACATGTTTGACAAAAAGTGTGATCAGCAAGAAGAAGTGGGTTGGCTCACAGGTTGTGTGTGAGAAAAATACAGTCTCTGGGGAGCTAATTTTGTTTTCTCCCCATTTATGTTGGACTGTGGGCTCGGTATATTCACTGACTGTTCGATCTATATATGTGGTAGAACACTGTAGTAGCTATTGTTTTAATGCAACAGTTAATTATTCTCATAAGTGGCATGTCTGTTTCTAGTTTTGTTATTCATCTTTTTAATGTCTAAAACAGTTTTGAAGTGAAAATCTTAAGTGTTGCACCTTTTGATGATAAGGACTAACTGAGTCCATTTGGACTTTGGTCTTCATTTTGGCAAATCAGAGTACTGTATAAGATATTGATTGTGAGGGAGGTCATAATACCTTCTAGGCACGTAGTTGATTTTGTAAGTAAGTCTACATATGCACTTTCACTGTGTAGTTCTGAATATGAGATTATAAAAAAACAGATTTTAAGTTGAGTTTTTGACAATATAATAACTCTAAAGCGTTCTGCACAGTCAGTCAGCACCAAAGTGAACAACTGGCACAACAGCTATCTTCTCTGTACGTAGCTGAAGATCAGTATTACAGAAAACTGTCACGAGTTCACTTTTTTTAAATTGTTATGACATATTGTATTATGTCTGTACTAAATGTATCATTCTCTTTCATCTTGCAGTCAGCCATTTTCAACTTCCAGTCACTGCTAACTGTGATTCTCCTCCTGATCTGTACCTGTGCCTACATCAGAGCAATGGCCCCCAGCCTGCTGGACAAGAATAAGACTGGGTAAGATGGGCTACTTAAAAATCACCACTGACATGATTAATTGGCTTCCCATCTTTGTCTTTTTGAGCAGTATAAATGATCAAAATGACTAAATCATTCATCTTTTCTAAGTTCATTATCAGCAATAATGGCAAATTGCTTGATCAGTCTTCATTTCACTATGTAATAATTCAGAATGGTAATCTGTATGTAAAGTATATTATTGTGGTTCTATAACATTATAGATCATCTTACAAGAAATTAAAGGTAAGGTTAAAACAGTAAATTTCAGTCTAATGCTTTCAGAATAGATGGAGACATTCACATGCGTATGACAACAGTTAAATGTGGAGCCTTGGAGCAGTGTAGAAGAGTGAAAATTCAAATCTAATGATTCTGCAAGTTTAATCAGTGCTTGCTGAAATATTTCTACACAGCAGTCACTTACAGTGTTTCTGCTGGTAAAAACAGGAAAACTGTGGCTGGAGACAAAAGTTATTGCGACCAAATGCCATGAATTTGCAAACTCGTTATCTTTGAAATCAGAGTCAGTCTGCTATCAGCTTGCAATTAAATGAGATCAAGTTGCCTATTTACATGCTGTGTCTGTGATAATACAGCAATGAA